GAGCAAATCGAAATCCGAAATACTGACTTAACTGGTGTTCATGACAGGACTTGAACCCAATCTATCGGGTTACAACAAGAATGTAATGACCACTAGCCATGCTGCCTCTTCAAATGCTTAATTCAGGAAAGAAATAAAAGCACTTGAACAAAGGATGRATTGAGGTTTATCGTTGATGTTGAAAAAAGCAACTATTTTTTGGTTTCCTTCATTTGCATGCTCTAACAATGGCAATCCATCATTTGCCTGCAATACAACTTACTTGTTAAGAATTGCCTCAAGAAACAAAAATACTCGCAGTTGGTAGGTTGAACGGTCAAAACCTGAAATGCAAAATAGAARAATGCAAAATTTKTCATTCTCATATTCTTTGTGGCAAAAATTGCTCAGTAGAGGCTCCTTCGGCTTAACAAAAAGGTATTACTTACTTTTCAGTACCTCTCGAAGGRCAGTTACATCAACAGGTAYAAAAACAGGTAGTCTAAGAGGATCCATGTTGTTACCAAGACGATCTGGAAATGGACTAACAGGAACAGGTACAAGATGGAAACCACACGAAGTTGCCTTTCGAGCCCATCCCTGCACCTTCAGATAATAAACGTACACATTACAGTAAAACACTGGAAGCCCTTTGAGCAATAAATTAGTTTTATTCTGCTGGTTATTTTATCGGTTATACGTTATGTAGTAAAAATTGAAAAAAGCTCAAAAATCACTCATTGTGAGCATTTCATTCACAGCTCATCCACATTTTCGTCAATAACAAAAGACTTTTGGCGATTTCTGTGCGAGACATCGTTGACCATACTTGGTCAAATGTTTCCTTTTTTTCTGTATTTTGCTAATTGCAAAAAGAGAAACTAAAGACATGTTTTACTATATSTCTATTATTAATATGATTGTTGCAGCTAGGATTCATGATTAAAACATATGTAGTTGTCTCTAGCTTAGTTTTTTATTGCCAGCTTTCATGTCCGAGCAAGAGGCTGGGTTCGAGTTTTAATATTGAAAATATCGCCAAGTTACGTGTATCATCTTGAAGAGCACATCAACATTGATAATATCCCCAAGTTTRGTTTAGTTCAGATGACTATTTAAGAAATTTAAGCTGTTCAAAAATGTTAAAATTTACAAAGGAATATACAGATTATGGGGAAGCATTCCCCACAATCTATAGATGTACACTTGAAAAAGAGAGTTTTTGAATGGCTGTAATTTTTGAAAAATTGACTCGATTTCCACCAAAGTTTCCCTTTTTATTGATATAGATTTGCTCTTTTTAGATTATGTAGGTCACACATCGATTTGTGCAATTTTAAAACTTGTAACCAGTTTCCTACTCGGTCATGAAAGTCGGCAATTCAGACGTTTCGATCTGCTCTCAGATCTTCTTCAGTGCAAAAAATGAATTCCGTTACAATTGTTTGCGCGCGTATATTTAACAAATAAATAATGCTCAGCCGTGGTTTATACTCTGATAAACGCACGCTTGGTATTTGAAACACACGAGAAAATGTCAGGAAGCACGAGCTGAAAGCGAGGCTATATTTGTATTGTGTTTGGCTATATTTGTATTGTGTTTGTGTGTCGTCCAGATGCTAATCTGGTCCATATATATTTGTTTTTTTTTGTAGGCCAAGGGGAAAACATAATACGTCATAGTAATTTTACCAAATCATGTACTATAGAACCAGTAGCTTCTATCCAGTGCACCTCAAACTCAAAGGCATGTGAGATACAGTAATTGCCATTGTAACGAATTATTGCATATTCATTTCGGTTGCTCTTCCTTTGCAAATCACAGTTAATGTGTACTGTCTTATAAGCAGGTCCAATGGCAATATCTGAGGAGTTCAAATTATTCATAATCAGTACATGCTGGTTTCACAAAGAACCCATTGAAACGTTTTTAACAACATCCATTAATGGCTACATATTTATTAAATCATATCGAATTCGAATATATTTTTAAT